CCACACCGTGTTCGTGTCTCCACCACACTTTGCTTCCTTGAGTTGCTGTTATATGCGAGGATGCTCCAGCTACTACCACAGTATATCTTCCAGCTGGTCACTGGCTTGGTACTCGACACCGAACTGATCGTGGTGGTGGTGGTTGTTGTTTCAGATGTACTTAGGTTAGTGTTTTCGAATTGCTCTTCTGTAAGAAACCCATGTGATATAAGCGAGAGGCACTTAATGGAGAAAAACGTCGAGGGCCCTTCATTCCATTCCAACCTTGCAGTAGCGTTATACAGTAAAACAGTGTCATTATTTGGGACTGGATATGGTCCCCAAAATACACACATTCCTGGGCTGTCAGAAGAAACTCCGTTTGTATAGTGAATTAGCATCACATTGAAACCAAATTGCTGAGTTATTGGCACTATTCCATTACTGCAATTTATCTCTGTTTTACTGACATTTAAAGTTACAAGACTGATGAGTTTGGCTGGAATATTAACATTTTGACTGCAGTACACGTCCCAGTTTGCCAGTCTGCTTGTGGCAGAGAGTGTCGGTTTGGGAGATTGGGAGATTGAAGACATCTGCCCAGGCGTAGTTGAATGACTGATTGAAGGAGTCTGCACTGATGCACTTGATGAAGGACTAGCCTCTGGTACAGGTGTACTTGATGACGGACTAGTGTCTGATGCAGGTGTACTTGATGAAGGACTAGCCTCTGGTGCAGGTGTACTTGATGAAGGACTAGACTCGGGTACAGGTGTACTTGATTTAGGACTGGTGTCTTGATTAAATGCCAGGGCTGACTTAGGTAGGAAACATTTAATTGGCAAAAAAATCGGGAGCCCTTCTCCCCATTCCAACCAAGCAGTTGCGTTATACAGTAAGACAGAGTCATTATTTGGGACTGGATATGGTCCCCAAAATACACACATTCCTGGACTGTCAGAAGAAACTCCGTTTGTATAGTGAATTAGCATCACATTGAAACCAAATTGCTGAGTTATTGGCACTATTCCATTACTGCAATTTATCTCTGTTTTACTGACATTTAAAGTTACAAGACTGATGAGTTTGGCTGGAATATTAACATTTTGACTGCAGTACACGTCCCAGTTTGCCAGTCTGCTTGTGGCAGAGAGTGTCGGTTTGGGAGATTGGGAGATTGAAGACATCTGCCCAGGCGTAGTTGAATGACTGATTGAAGGAGTCTGCACTGATGGACTAGCCTCTGGTACAGGTGTACTTGATGAAGGACTAGCGTCTGATGCAGGCGTACTTGATGAAGGACTAGCCTTTGGTACAGGCGCACTTGATGAAGGACTAGACTCTGGTGCAAGTGTACTTGATTTAGGACTGGTGTCTGGATTAAATGCCAGGGCTGACTTAGGTAGGAAACATTTAATTGGCAAAAAAATCGGGAGCCCTTCTCCCCATTCCAACCAAGCAGTTGCGTTATACAGTAAGACAGAGTCATTATTTGGGACTGGATATGGTCCCCAAAATACACACATTCCTGGACTGTCAGAAGAAACTCCGTTTGTATAGTGAATTAGCATCACATTGAAACCAAATTGCTGAGTTATTGGCACTATTCCATTACTGCAATTTATCTCTGTTTTACTGACATTTAAAGTTACAAGACTGATGAGTTTGGCTGGAATATTAACATTTTGACTGCAGTACACGTCCCAGTTTGCCAGTCTGCTTGTGGCAGAGAGTGTCGGTTTGGGAGATTGGGAGATTGAAGACATCTGCCCAGGCGTAGTTGAATGACTGATTGAAGGAGTCTGCACTGATGGACTAGCCTCTGGTACAGGTGTACTTGATGAAGGACTAGCCTCTGATGCAGGCGTACTTGATGAAGGACTAGCCCTTTGGTACAGGCGCACTTGATGAAGGACTAGACTCTGGTGCAAGTGTACTTGATTTAGGACTGGTGTCTGGATTAAATGCCAGGGCTGACTTAGGTAGGAAACATTTAATTGGCAAAAAATCGGGAGCCCTTCTCCCCATTCCAACCAAGCAGTTGCGTTATACAGTAAGACAGAGTCATTATTTGGGACTGGATATGGTCCCCAAAATACACACATTCCTGGACTGTCAGAAGAAACTCCGTTTGTATAGTGAATTAGCATCACATTGAAACCAAATTGCTGAGTTATTGGCACTATTCCATTACTGCAATTTATCTCTGTTTTACTGACATTTAAAGTTACAAGACTGATGAGTTTGGCTGGAATATTAACATTTTGACTGCAGTACACGTCCCAGTTTGCCAGTCTGCTTGTGGCAGAGAGTGTCGGTTTGGGAGATTGGGAGATTGAAGACATCTGCCCAGGCGTAGTTGAATGACTGATTGAAGGAGTCTGCACTGATGGACTAGCCTCTGGTACAGGTGTACTTGATGAAGGACTAGCGTCTGATGCAGGCGTACTTGATGAAGGACTAGCCTTTGGTACAGGCGCACTTGATGAAGGACTAGACTCTGGTGCAAGTGTACTTGATTTAGGACTGGTGTCTGGATTAAATGCCAGGGCTGACTTAGGTAGGAAACATTTAATTGGCAAAAAAATCGGGAGCCCTTCTCCCCATTCCAACCAAGCAGTTGCGTTATACAGTAAGACAGAGTCATTATTTGGGACTGGATATGGTCCCCAAAATACACATTTCCTGGACTGTCAGAAGAAACTCCGTTTGTATAGTGAATTAGCATCACATTGAAACCAAATTGCTGAGTTATTGGCACTATTCCATTACTGCAATTTATCTCTGTTTTACTGACATTTAAAGTTACAAGACTGATGAGTTTGGCTGGAATATTAACATTTTGACTGCAGTACACGTCCCAGTTTGCCAGTCTGCTTGTGGCAGAGAGTGTCGGTTTGGGAGATTGGGAGATTGAAGACATCTGCCCAGGCGTAGTTGAATGACTGATTGAAGGAGTCTGCACTGATGGACTAGCCTCTGGTACAGGTGTACTTGATGAAGGACTAGCCTCTGATGCAGGCGTACTTGATGATGAAGGACTAGCCTCTGGTGCACAGGCGTACTTGATGAAGGACTAGACTCTGGTGCAAGTGTACTTGATTTAGGACTGGTGTCTGGATTAAATGCCAGGGCTGACTTAGGTAGGAAACATTTAATTGGCAAAAAAATCGGGAGCCCTTCTCCCCATTCCAACCAAGCAGTTGCGTTATACAGTAAGACAGAGTCATTATTTGGGACTGGATATGGTCCCCAAAATACACACATTCCTGGACTGTCAGAAGAAACTCCGTTTGTATAGTGAATTAGCATCACATTGAAACCAAATTGCTGAGTTATTGGCACTATTCCATTACTGCAATTTATCTCTGTTTTACTGACATTTAAAGTTACAAGACTGATGAGTTTGGCTGGAATATTAACATTTTGACTGCAGTACACGTCCCAGTTTGCCAGTCTGCTTGTGGCAGAGAGTGTCGGTTTGGGAGATTGGGAGATTGAAGACATCTGCCCAGGCGTAGTTGAATGACTGATTGAAGGAGTCTGCACTGATGGACTAGCCTCTGGTACAGGTGTACTTGATGAAGGACTAGCGTCTGATGCAGGCGTACTTGATGAAGGACTAGCCTTTGGTACAGGCGCACTTGATGAAGGACTAGACTCTGGTGCAAGTGTACTTGATTTAGGACTGGTGTCTGGATTAAATGCCAGGGCTGACTTAGGTAGGAAACATTTAATTGGCAAAAAATCGGGAGCCCTTCTCCCCATTCCAACCAAGCAGTTGCGTTATACAGTAAGACAGAGTCATTATTTGGGACTGGATATGGTCCCCAAAATACACACATTCCTGGACTGTCAGAAGAAACTCCGTTTGTATAGTGAATTAGCATCACATTGAAACCAAATTGCTGAGTTATTGGCACTATTCCATTACTGCAATTTATCTCTGTTTTACTGACATTTAAAGTTACAAGACTGATGAGTTTGGCTGGAATATTAACATTTTGACTGCAGTACACGTCCCAGTTTGCCAGTCTGCTTGTGGCAGAGAGTGTCGGTTTGGGAGATTGGGAGATTGAAGACATCTGCCCAGGCGTAGTTGAATGACTGATTGAAGGAGTCTGCACTGATGGACTAGCCTCTGGTACAGGTGTACTTGATGAAGGACTAGCGTCTGATGCAGGCGTACTTGATGAAGGACTAGCCTTTGGTACAGGCGCACTTGATGAAGGACTAGACTCTGGTGCAAGTGTACTTGATTTAGGACTGGTGTCTGGATTAAATGCCAGGGCTGACTTAGGTAGGAAACATTTAATTGGCAAAAAATCGGGAGCCCTTCTCCCCATTCCAACCAAGCAGTTGCGTTATACAGTAAGACAGAGTCATTATTTGGGACTGGATATGGTCCCCAAAATACACACATTCCTGGACTGTCAGAAGAAACTCCGTTTGTATAGTGAATTAGCATCACATTGAAACCAAATTGCTGAGTTATTGGCACTATTCCATTACTGCAATTTATCTCTGTTTTACTGACATTTAAAGTTACAAGACTGATGAGTTTGGCTGGAATATTAACATTTTGACTGCAGTACACGTCCCAGTTTGCCAGTCTGCTTGTGGCAGAGAGTGTCGGTTTGGGAGATTGAGAGATTGAAGACATCTGCCCAGGCGTAGTTGAATGACTGATTGAAGGAGTCTGCACTGATGCACTTGATGAAGGACTAGCCTCTGGTGCAGGTGTACTTGATGAAGGACTAGCCTCTGGTGCAGGCGTACTTGATGAAGGACTAGCCTCTGGTGCAGGCGTACTTGATGAAGGACTAGCCTCTGGTGCAGGCGTACTTGATGAAGGACTAGCCTCTGGTGCAGGCGTACTTGATGAAGGACTAGCCTCTGGTGCAGGCGTACTTGATGAAGGACTAGCCTCTGGTGCAGGCGTACTTGATGAAGGACTAGCCTCTGGTGCAGGCGTACTTGATGAAGGACTAGCCTCTGGTGCAGGCGTACTTGATGAAGGACTAGCCTCTGGTGCAGGGATGAAGGACTAGCCTCTGGTGCAGGCGTACTTGATGAAGGACTAGCCTCTGGTGCAGGCGCGTACTTGATGAAGGACTAGCCTCTGGTGCAGGCGTACTTGATGAAGGACTAGCCTCTGGTGCAGGCGTACTTGATGAAGGACTAGCCTCTGGTGCAGGCGTACTTGATGAAGGACTAGCCTCTGGTGCAGGCGTACTTGATGAAGGACTAGCCTCTGGTGCAGGCGTACTTGATGAAGGACTAGCCTCTGGTGCAGGCGTACTTGATGAAGGACTAGCCTCTGGTGCAGGCGTACTTGATGAAGGACTAGCCTCTGGTGCAGGTGTACTTGATGAAGGACTAGCCTCTGGTGCAGGTGTACTTGATGAAGGACTAGCCTCTGGTGCAGGTGTACTTGATGAAGGACTAGCCTCTGGTGCAGGTGTACTTGATGAAGGACTAGCCTCTGGTGCAGGTGTACTTGATGAAGGACTAGCCTCTGGTGCAGGTGTACTTGATGAAGGACTAGACTCTGGTGCAAGTGTACTTGATTTAGGACTGGTGTCTGGATTAAATGCCAGGGCTGACTTAGGTAGGAAACATTTAATTGGCAAAAAAATCGGGAGCCCTTCTCCCCATTCCAACCAAGCAGTTGCGTTATACAGTAAGACAGAGTCATTATTTGGGACTGGATATGGTCCCCAAAATACACACATTCCTGGACTGTCAGAAGAAACTCCGTTTGTATAGTGAATTAGCATCATATTGAAACCAAATTGCTGAGTTATTGGCACTATTCCATTACTGCAATTTATCTCTGTTTTACTGACATTTAAAGTTACAAGACTGATGAGTTTGGCTGGAATATTAACATTTTGACTGCAGTACACGTCCCAGTTTGCCAGTCTGCTTGTGGCAGAGAGTGTCGGTTTGGGAGATTGGGAGATTGAAGACATCTGCCCAGGCGTAGTTGAATGACTGATTGAAGGAGTCTGCACTGATGTACTTGATGAAGGATTAGTGTCTGATGCAGGCGTACGTGAGGTAGGACTAGCCTCTGGTGCAGGTGTGCTTGATGTAGGACTATCCTCTGGTGGTGGTGTTCTTGACCTTGGACTATCCCCTGGTGCAGATGTGCTTGATGTAGGAGTTGTTGCGTCTGGTTCAGATGACTGTGTTTGATAGTTCGGAGCTGTTTCGTCGGGTGTAGATGATTGATTGCCGAAGACTAGCTCTTCAGATGCCGGTGGTCGAGAGCTTGAACTTGTGTGTGTCGATGTTGCTTGTGTTGGCTTGTATTTTTGCCTCATGGAAGAACTATAAGTTTGGCCAGATTGTTCATTTGTAGGCATACTATCATGTTCAGCATCAGCCTGGGCACCCAGAGTTTGGTTGTCTGACCTGGGAAGGAAACATTCGATATTGACATAGGTTGGAAGGCCATCCCCCCAAAACTGTGCCATGGTTACATTATACAACTGAACAGAGGCATTCATGGGGACTACATATGGTCCAAAAAATACACACATTCCTGGAAAGCGATCCATTTTATCATGTGGGTATTGAATGATAATTACATTGAAGCCAATCTTCTGTGTCACCGACATCCAGCCATTTTCGCAAAGGATTTGAATATTCCTCACCACTCGTCCTTTCGAGGAAACAGGATGGTCGATATACGTTGCCGGAATGCTGGCATTGTTTCCACAGTAGATCTTCCATCTGATCAGACCATGTTGAGTTGTAACTGATCCTGACTGGTGAGGTGCAGTAGTTTCTGGGTTCGGTGTTGAATACAGAGGAATACTTTGAATGGAACTTTGCCCAGGTGGTGCACTAGAGCTTGGACGGGGACTCGAAATCCGGTTGGTTGTTCCAGAGGTTGGCTGAAAGATTGCTTGAGGGTTAGGTTCAGTGCTTGGTTGTGAGGTCAGTTGAGGGGTAGGTTGAGAGGTTGGTTGTGAGGTCAGTTGAGGGGTAGGTTGTGCGGTCAGTTGAGGGGTAGGTTGAGAGGTTGGTTGTGCGGTCAGTTGAGGGGTAGGATGAGAGGTTGGTTGTGCGGTCAGTTGAGGGGTAGGTTGTGAGACTGGTTGAGGGGTAGGTTGAGAGGCTGGTTGTGAGGCTGGCTCTGTGTTTGTTCGGAAGGTCGGCTGAGATGTTGATTGAGATTGTGGTCGAGTGCTTGGTATAGTACTTAGATTGGTGCGACTTGCAGGCGGATGGCTATGGTTTGATTCTGAGGCTGATTTTGTAAAGTTACATTCAAAAGAGAGATAGCTTGGAGTCCCATCGTTCCATAGCACTGCAACAGTCATATTATACACCTCAACAGAGCCATTCTTCGTAATGAAGTATGGTCCATGGAACACACATGTCCCTGGTATCAAGGAAGAGGAAGCTTGGGGATACTGAATGAGAATTATTTTAAAGCCACTTTCCTGTACGATTGGGATCCATCCATTTTTGCAGATGAGTTGCATATCTTTGATATAGTAGGCCCTGAATGTTATTGGGTAAGAGATGAGGACGGCTGGTTCGCTCTTGTCAGCACTGCAGCTGATGTTCAGGTTCAGGGCCCGCACTCTGCTGTCAGGGGCGCCAGCCTGTCAGGAACATACAAAGCCAAAGTGAAAATGGAAACTTAAGACCTCCTAATCTCACAGTAGAAAGGCAATATTCACTGAGTCATTATCTATACATTTCTTAGAGTAACAGAGGCCACCTCATTCTCCATTGTCAAGAAGAATCTCATTAACATTCTTTGAACATTTTGTATAAAGTCATAGACTGGACCTGCCCTCGTCAGTTGTACATCTCGATTGAGATATACTGCATTTGAGTACACATCCTGGTGTCTCGGTGCACAAAACCAACGCCGACACATTATTATAGTTACATTTTGGTATGAGAAGCAGCAGTACCTGTGTGGGTAGTATAAATTTTGTCACTTGATTTGTTTTGGTGTTGGTTTACGTGAGACTTGAACTAAGTATTTGATGGTTCACCAAGTGTCTGGGTGAGACATATTACTAACGGAAAAAAGTAACTGAGCATGACATAAAATTGCACAGATAAAAGTTTTGAAAAAAAATAACCCTAAATGAACATGTAGCAAAGCACTTTGCACAAAAACTTCGATCTCACGTATCGCGAGTGGCACGTGCACTTTGTGTACAGCACAATGCATTCAACTGTACACTGCACGGCACGGTGCAATCAGCTATACACTGCACGGCACAATGCAATCAGCTATACACTGCACGCCACAGTGCATTCAGCTTTACACTGCACGGCACAATGCATTCAGCTGTACACTGCACGGCACAATGCAATCAGCTATACCCTGCACACCACAATGCATTCAACTATACACTGCACGGCACAATGCAATCAGCTATACACTGCACACCACAATGCAATCAGTTATACACTGCACGGCACACGACACAATCAGCTATACACTTCACGGCACAATGCATTCAAATATACACTGCACGGCACAATGCATTCAACTATACACTGCAGGGCACAATGCACTCAGCTATACACTACACGGCACACGACACAATCAGCTATACACTGCACGGTACAATGCATTCAACTATACACTGTACGGTACAATGCAATCAGCTATACACTGCACGGTACAATGCAATCAGCTAAACACTGCACGGCACAATGCATTCAACTATACACTGCAGGGCACAATGCAATCAGCTATACACTTCACGCCACAATGCATTCAGCTATACACTTCACGCCACAATGCATTCAGCTATACTCTGCAGGGCACAGTGCAATCAGATATACACTGAACGGTCTAATACAATCAGCTATACACTGCACGACACAATGCAATCAAATATACACTGCATGATACAATGCAATCAGTTATACACTGCACGGCACACGACACAATCAGCTATACACTGAACGGCACACGACACAATCAGCTATACACTGCACGGCACACGACACAATCGGATATACACTGAACGGCCAAATACAATCAGCTACACACTGCAGGGAAACAATACAATCAAATGTACACTGTATGATACAATGCAATCAGTTATACACTGCACGGCACAAGACACTATCAGCTATACACTTCACGGCACAAGACACAATCAGCTATACACTGAACGGCACACGACACAATCAGCTATACACTGAACGGCACACGACACAATCAGATATACACTGCACGGCACAATGCAATCAAATGTATACTGCACGGCACAATGCAATCAGCTATACACTGCACGGCACAATGCATTCAACTATAAACTGCACGCTAAAATGAAATAAGTTATACACTGAACGGCACACGACACAATCAGTTATACACTGCACGCCACAATGCAATCAGCTATACACTGCACGGCACAATGCATTCAACTATAAACTGCACGCCACAATGAAATAAGTTATACACTGAACGGCACACGATACAATCAGCTATACACTGTATGCCACAACACAATCAGCTATACACTGAACGGCACACGATACAATCAGCTATACACTGCATGCCACAACACAATCAGCTATACACTGAACGGCACACGACACAATCAGTTATACACTGCACGCCACAATGCAATCAGCTATACACTGCACGGCACAATGCATTCAACTATAAACTGCACGCTAAAATGAAATAAGTTATACACTGAACGGCACACGACACAATCAGTTATACACTGCACGCCACAATGCAATCAGCTATACACTGCACGGCACAATGCATTCAACTATAAACTGCACGCCACAATGAAATAAGTTATACACTGAACGGCACACGATACAATCAGCTATACACTGTATGCCACAACACAATCAGCTATACACTGAACGGCACACGATACAATCAGCTATACACTGCATGCCACAACACAATCAGCTATACACTGAACGGCACACGACATAATCAGTTATACACTGCACGGCACATGACACAATCAGCTATACACTGCACGCCACAACACATTCAGTTATACACTGAACGGCACACGACACAATCAGCTTTACACTGCACGGCACACGACACAATCAGGTATACACTGCACAACAGACCACAATCAGCTATACACTAGACGGCACACGACACAATCCGCTATACACTGCACGGGACACGACACAATCCTCTATACACTGCACGGCACAACACATTCAGCTATACACTGCACAGCACACGACACAATCAGCTATACACTGAACGGCACACGACACAATCAGCTATACACTGCACAACTGACCACATTCAGCTATACACTAGACGGCACACGACACAATCCGCTATACACTGCACGGGACACGACACAATCAGCTATACACTGCACGGCACACGACACAATCAGCTATACACTGCACAGCACACGACGCAATCAGCTATACACTGCACGGCACACGACACAATCAGCTATACACTGCACGACACACGACACAATCAGCTATACGCTGCACCCAACATGACACAATCTGCTATACACTGCATGCCTCAACACAATCAGCTAAACACTGCACGGCACAACGCAATCCGCTATACACTGCACGGTACACTACACGGCACACTACACAATCGGTTATACACTGCACAACAGACGACAATCAGCTATACACTGCACGGCACACGACACAATCAGCTATACACTGCACGGCACACGATACAATCAGCTATACACTGCACGGCACACGACACAATCAGTTATACACTGCACAACAGACCACAATCAGCTATACACTGCACGGCACACGACACAATCAGCTATACACGGTACACGACACAATCAGTTATACACTGCACAACAGACCACAATCAACTATACACTGCACGGCACACGATACAATAAGCTATACACTGGACGGCACACGATGCAATCCGCTATACACTGCATGGCACACGACACAATCAGCTATACACTGCACGGCACACGACACAATCAGCTATACACTGCACAACAGACCACAATCAGCTATACACTGCACGGCACAAGACACAATCAGCTATACACTGCAAGGCACACGACACAATCAGCTATACACTGCACAACAGACCACAATCAGCTATACACTGCACGGCAAACGACACAATCAGCTATACACTTCACGGCACACGACACAATGATGTACACTGCACAACAGACCACAATCAGCTATACACTAGACGGAACGACACAATCCGCTATACACTGCACGGCACACGACACAATCCGCTATACACTGCACGACACATTCAGCTATACACCTATACACGGCACACGACACAATCAGCTATACACTGAACGGCACACGACACAATCAGCTATACACTGAACGGCACACGACACAATCAGCTATACACTGCACAACAGACCACATTTAGCTGTACACTGCACGGCACACGACACAATCAGCTATACACTGCACGACACACGACACAATCAGCTATACACTGCACCCCACATGACACAATCCGCTATACACTGCATGCCTCAACACAATCAGCTAAACACTGCACGTCACAACACAATCCGCTAAACACTGCACACGACACAATCAGTTATACACAGGACGGCACACTACACGGCACACTACACAATCAGTTATACACTGCACAACAGACGACAATCAGCTATACACTGCACGGCACACGACACAATCAGTTATACACTGCACGGCACACGATACAATCAGCTATACACTGCACGGCACACGAGACAATCAGTTATACACTGCACAACAGACCACAATCAGCTATACACTGCACGGCACACGACACAATAAGCTATACACTGCACGGCACAGGATGCAATCCGCTATACACTGCACGGCACACTACACGGCACACTACACAATCAGTTATACACTGCACGGCACACGACACAATAAGCTATACACTGCACGGCACAGGATGCAATCCGCTATACACTGCACGGCACACTACACGGCACACTACACAATCAGTTATACACTTCACAACAGACGACAATCAGCTATACACTGCACGGCACACGACACAATCAGTTATACACTGCACGGCACTCTATGCAATCCGCTATACACTGCATGGCACACGACACAATCAGCTATACACTGCACGGCACACGACACAATAAGCTATACACTGCACAACAGACCACAATCAGCTATACACTGCAGGGCAAACGACACAATCAGCTATACACTGCATGGCGCACGAGACAATCCGCCATACACTGCACGGCACAAAACACAATCAGCTATACACTGCACGGCACACACCACAATCAGCTATACACTGCACGCCACAACACAATCCTCTCTACACTGCACGGCACACGACACAATCAGCTATGCACTGCACAACAGACCACAATGAGCTATACACTGCACGGGATACGACACAATCAGCTATACAGTGCACAACATACCACAATCAGCTATACACTGCACGGGATACGACACAATCAGCTATACAGTGCACGCAACAACACAATCCGCTATACACTGCACGACACACGACACAATCAGCTATACACTGCACGGCACACGACACAATCAGCTATACACTGCACGGCACACAACACAATCTGCTATACACTGAACGACACACAACACAATCCGCCATACACTGCACGGC